GAGAGAGAGAGAGAGAGAGAGAGATATATATATAACATTCCTTGTTCAACGCAGTGTGTTAAAGTAACCTCCAAGGAGACCCTGCTAACCTTGTGCAAACCAAATTATGTGGCAAAGGCATATTTTCGTAGATTGGTTAAAAAAAACAAATACAACATTGCACCTAAAGTCTATTTACAAGGCTTTTGAACCTGTCCATATACACCGTACCTCACAGTTCTTTTGGTTAGGAAGTCATGTATACGCTCGTTCATATCCTCATTCTCAAGTCATTACTTCGTTCCTTTTTTAATAGCCTGGCCGTGTTTGATGTATAAATTATGGCTAATATTTCATGATGAAAGCTCATTTCAACCTTGAAGTGCCTTCGTCCTCTAAAGAGATAATACAGATGAGATACAACTTCAAGTGAAAGCCACCTACTCACGCTATGTGGTTCCCCCCTTTGCTTTCTATCGGGACGTTGCAGGTTCATTGACTGAGCCAACAGACCCGTAGATCTCGTACTCTTTTGGACTGGCGAAACATTTCGGCGCTTGAATGAGTACCAGGCCGTGTTTGTACACAGCACGTGCGTTGGATGAGCCGCCTCACACCTCGAGTAATGCGGGTTATGTCACTGTGCTCGTGTGCGCTAAATGAGAGCACGTGTGTGTAGTGAGGTGGTGGTGGTGCTGCTCCTAACACCTAAGCCAGATTCTTAAATTGATTTGGACATCAGCACAGAATAGGGAAAAGACAAATAGGACAGTGAGTCTTAATTCTTGATCGTGACTGAGGTCATAACGTCGGCAGAATTAGACAAGAAAAGACAAAATAAGCAATTATAGATAAACTCCTTATTTAATAACATTTATTGCATGACTACAGCACAACCAAGCATGAAAGACTATTGCATAATACGCTTCTTCCCCTCATTGTATGTATTTTTACACCTTTCATCGACACAACCTTGATCAATTAGGAGGAGGGTTTCGACTCTGTCTGTCGGGGCCAACCCGGGCTGAGAGAGGTACGAGTACAACATTCCAGCACAAAGACTGGGTTACTCAACATGAAAATGAAAGGGGTCATGTGTCAGTGGTAGCCATCAAACGATGATGAAATCAATGCAACAAGTAACTTCAAGTACTTATTGTTACCATTTCAAACAGATGTAGACCTATATTTAATTGCAAGGCAAAAAGGATCATTTTTAAACCGGGAACATGTACATTTGTACTCGTACTTGTAGCTGGCAAGGACACATACTCCAGTATTTCTTTTCAGTTTTGATTTTGCATCCTATTTTCCATGGATAAATCAATGAGTAAAAAAATAAGTGTTTATTTTGTTTGAGTAGACAAAAGCACATTGCCACAAAAAAGAAGGTCTTTTAGTGCTGGGAAAAAGTAAGACGCGCAGACAGAAACAACAGACGAAAAGTAAAGAAGTGGGAGCTTCAAATAGTGCCCTCCAACCACCCGGAAATAAACAAAATAAATAAATAATACTTTACATTGTTTTTCAAGTTCTTCCAGTAAGAATTACTAAAGCTCAAAAAGTAAACTGGAGACCTCAGTTCCCACGTTAAGTGAGCCCGGTGCGATGCTGGTGGGCCCGGAACTGACGTCACATTAGTTTACTTTACGCGGCTCACGTGTCGCCGCTGACGAACTCGACAAAAGCAGAACCAACAAAGGGAAAGAAGTCGGAACGAGAGAAACCAGATGTGTCTCAGTTTTGGTGTGCTATGTCATTTCTTGGTGGCTGCACTCAGCGATCCCTTCTATGACACTTTTCCATGCCGCATATCATGCTGTGAAGTAATTAATGTTATTGCTGGGAGCTTCCAGAACTCGAAACCCTTTCTTTGATCGTTGTTTCATTCAGGTGCATCGTTTAGCTAAATCTGCTAAAAGCACTTGTCCACACAGAGTGCGACTTGGGTTCGAATCTTCGAGGGTTGCCTTTTCGAGTTGATCCAGTGAATAAAATCCTGACAAGTGTTCATACTTGAACCCCATCGTTCACTCAGTTTATTCAGTCCATTGGTTACCGGATGGATTAATTTCGTTTCTAGCAGCCTCGTGTTCTGACATGGCACAAGTCGGCACGCATTGGAAAGGGCCAAAATAATATGTACATAAAAGGGTATTAAACTGTACATCATTTCAATCAACCTGCTAGGGAAGTTAGGCAGTACTGAAAATTGGGTTTTCTTTTCTTAATTCACAGGAAATTTTGTTCCCTCTGAAAACAATAAATGTGGATTAAAAGCAATTTGTTGGAACACTGGGCTATAAGAACATACTGAATTACTGGGTTTATCATTTTACGAAATGAAAAGCTTCACAATCCAGAAAATTAATTAAATGCCATACAATTGTTTTCAACTGCAATTTTTTGCTTTTTTATTATTCATGTGCTATTTCATAGAAACTACGAATCAAGAAAAGAGTACCTTTGAAGTGTGTGTGTGTGTGTGTGTGTGTGTGTGTGTGTGTGTGTGTGTGTGTGTGTGTGTGTGTGTGTGTGTCGTGTTTGTTTGATTGAATACAAAATTCATAAATATATTTTTCTATATTTGAACAAATATTGAAGAAGTAGAGGGTCTTATTACCTTTCGAACTAAACAATATAAGTGAACCCTATTCACCCAAGAGCATGTTCGTTCACAGTAGCTTAAGTCGGTAAAATTAGATCTTGTGGTATTGTTCTAGTGAAGAAAAGGAAAGGGGTCCAACAACGAGCATTTATTGTTAAGAAATAGTTTGAACGGACGATAAGTGGAGACGGAGATGAAAGTGTCCCCCCCCAACTTCACTCGCCACCCAAAAAAAAAAGAAAATCATCGACAGTGTCTACCAACAGAGCAAAGGTAGAGGAGAAAAAAAGACACCTTGACAAAACAGTTCTCACAGGAATTTTTATCTAACTGATGTCTCTGTCATTGTCATCAAACTGATATTTCCCAATTTCAGTTCAAAGTAGAGACATGCTGTTTCTTTACTAAAAGACTGATAGCTTTCAAAATGAATTAATAAATATAGATGGTTCTCTTAGAAATGTCAAAGTCTGTTCAAAGAAAACCAGACGTCACTATTATTTGTGCTACAAAGGTCTACAATGTCTCTGCATATAATATTTTTATGAAGATGGGATGAATTAATGGTAAAAGCATTTCTTCTCAACCCAAGAGGAGAAAACTGAGCCGAGATTATGCCTACAACAACTCGAGAGAGTTTGAGATACATGTGTAATAATTAATAATAATAGCAATCTTTTATAATTAGGAAATGAGATTACCATACGACGGTACACAAGTCGAGACTAGATTCTAGATCTAAATTCTAGGCTAAAAGAAAAAAAAAGTTAGCACTGAGCCGCACTTAGATCTATATCTATTGAACGGATTTAGCAGATCGTGACGTGATCTAGCAATAGATCTACAGTGTGGAAGAATTTGAGCACACTTCCTTGAAAAATAGGATAGTTTCACCGTTACCTGAGCAAAAGCTATCTTTACCATCTCGGAATGGACTCAGGTATTTCATAGTTTCCTACTCACCCTTTTCCTTGTCCATTTTTAAACATGGAATGATATAGCTATAAAAAATCCCAGAAGAAAATGTAGATCTAGATTCTAGATTCTAGATTCTAGATCGTAATTTATAGAAACACTCTCGTCCCATGACGAAGTAAGCACTTTTAACATAAAATGATACGTCTGTATCTCTTTGTTACTGTTTGAATGTGAATGACCTGAATGGGTGTTTAGGTTGTTGGTAAGTGTGTGTGCTTGTGTGTATGTGTGTGCGTGTGGGAATCCCTACTTGTGTGTGTGTGTGTGTGTGTGTGTGTGTGTTTGTGTGTGTATGTGTGCGTGTGTGCGTGTGCGTGTTTGTGTGTGTTTGTGTGTATATTATGTTTGTATCGGTTTGTGTGTGTGTGTGTGTGTGTGTGTGTCAAAGTGTATATGTTTGAGGAATGTGTTCATGGGTAGCATAAA